AACATGAGACTCCCAAGCGTTCCCACACTCAGCAGCGCTTGCCTTTTCAGCAAAGCGTCATACGTTGCATTTACTGCCATCTGCTGCTATTTGCAAGAAAGTGCATATGCAAAAATTTAGATTCTCCCAAACTACTAATGAAGCTCCCGTTGCTCTCATTGTTTAGCACTGAGATCATGTATATCTCCATGTTAAAGCAATTGTTATCATGACTTTTTAAGGTTACGCCACAGCTGTAGTCAGAAAAGCCACAGAATGTTGGAAAATCATCGAAGACTTTTTTGAAATAATGTACTCCTGCTATGCACATGGCATTTTGTATTTCAAAAATACATTTAAACTCAAAGTACATACACTATCATAAACAGAATTTTTTGCCAGCAGTGCAGTAGGGTGGGACAATTTTAGTTCTGGCAGTTAATGTGTAACTTGAATAAGGGCCGGCTCAGAGTGCAGAGTCATTGTATTCGGTCAGTTAGGCACTTCGTCTTTGGCATAGAAACATGACTGTACGGCTCTTTGAGGGCAAGGATCATGCCACTGCTTACCTGCAGTACAGAGTAGCCCCCCATGAATTAATCAGCAAGATTATGAGCTACGTGAAGAAAGGTAATGTGTATGTTCACGTATTCAGCATTTTAACTGGCTTCAACATGATTGCATATTGGTGCTGTTTTATGTAGCCTGTAATACCTCTAATTAAGGTAATGTTAAATACTCAATAAACTTTTTTAAAAAGCATCAGTATTTCCATTCCTGACTCATCAAACCCATCCGTCATCCATAGATTCAGAACTAAGCAGGTTTAAAGGTTTATACTTATTATATGGTGTAACTCCTTTCAGTCACCAAACCAACTCAACCTTGCAGTGGATGTGGGCTGCGGTTCGGGGCAAGGGACAACTCTATTGGCTCCGTACTTCAGCAATGTTGTTGGAACAGACATCAGCCCTGCCCAGCTGGAGATGGCACTGGTCAATAGCAACCCTCCAAATGTATCATACAGGTGAGGTAGAGGGCATGTGGGAGAAGTTATCCTTGAAGGATTTCTGCCAGAAAGCCAAGCAGGTAGTCTTGGTGCCTAAATCTAACCACACTGTGACCATTTAGGCACCAAAAGTATTTGGTTAAAACTGCAACAGTGGTACATCAAATGTTCAGCTATAATCTACTGCAGTTCTGTGTCTTCATTGAGTATTGATGACTTTTTGACACTTTACTGTTTATATTTGTTGCTGTTCCAAATGCAATTTTCAAACTGACTGTAAACTGTTAGTCCTTTGACAGTAAGACTGTGAGTAATGACATTGTCAGTCATCCATCTGATTGCAGGACCTGAATAAGATTGTTGAATAAGAAAGTTAGAATCCCAGTGGTTAAAAGTTATTTCACAGCTACCAACAGCAGCACACAACAAGGACAGCAAATTTTCATTGCTTCATTGTCAGGTCAAGGAACAATTCCAGCCTCAGAAAACTTGCTCACATACTTCAAAGACCAAAACCTAGTGGTCAAGAGTCTGCGACCTCGCAAATGTGACCTCCACAGAAACATTTTAAATGCATTTTTAATAAAAACTTTATTTGGTTACAAAGGGACAAAATCCACAATCTCATTATGCGCAGAAACCATGTCCATTGTAATAAGGACTCCTTTTTGGTAGCAGTATGTATTGGTATTTATGAATTAATCTTCATTCATCTACACACACTTTGTGCTTGACACAGATACTGTCCAGAGTATATGATGAATTGCATTTCCCCCTATTTCCTGCTACATTGTTCTGACCGCTTCGACCCCAGGCAGTGTCCAGCAGAAGAGCTACCATTCGTTTCTGGTGAGGTGGACCTTGTGACGGCCATGACAGCGGCCCACTGGTTTGACCGGCCGAAGTTCCTTCTGGAGGCTGACAGGGTGCTGAGGCCTGGAGGCTGCCTGGCTCTCCTGAGCTACACAATGGACATGGGGCTGGAATATGGGGACGTCTCCAACACACTCAATGACATCTGTAAAGAGGTTCATCCAAAAACATTTTTTTAAAGTATTTAAATCATTCAAGGGAAAAGAAAATGCCTCTGAGAAATAAGATATTAAAATTCACACTTCCTAATGTGACTGCAGAAACAAAACAGCTTGATTTCTTGAATCAGTAGTACATAGTGTGTGTATACATTTTAAAATGTCTAACCGAAGTAATTTAGTGTGACTAAGAGGGCAGTCAGAGTTAAAAACCAGTTAGTCTGTTGTTTTAAATGTGAATTATTAATATGTCAAATATCATTTGATGTATGACCTTATGTGTAAGTGGTAATTAAACCCCTTACCCTAGTCATTGTCATGCCATTTAGACACATACAATCCCATTGTGTTAAGTTGTGTTGATGTGGATTTTAATTGTTTATCCCAAAATTAGACAAAAGAAGGACAATTTTTGTACATCTATGAGCTATTGCAAATTTAGTTGGTAATTAACTTTATTGTTATTTTTTTGGGTTAGTTCTACGCTGCCCTGCTTCATTTCCGAGACCCTTACATAGGATCGAGCTCTGTGAAGATCTACTCAGACATGTTTGACTCCTGCTCTTACCCTGACAAAGAGTGGTGAGTGTTTCTGAATAAGAAAACTGAACAAGTTGCGCTGTTCCCAGATCTTCCATTTTATATCAGCTGAGACAAAGTAATCCTTATTTACAGCTATGGCTTTGTGGAGCAAAGCGTGAGAGTCAGACATGTATACACTCTGACATCTGGGTGTTATCTGGCACAGAGCAGCTTAAACTTGAGCAGTTGGGGGTCAAATGTCTTGCTCTGGGCCTTCTCAGTATATAGTCACGGGAGAGAGGAGAGGAGTTTCTCATTCACTACACAGACAAGATTTCCACAAAAGTCGACTTTCTTCACCTTACATTCAGTATAACGATACAAAACTAATATATTGCATGATTTAACATGTTTTTGTGTCCAGGACTGAGTGTCTGCTGGTAAAAAAGATCTTGCCATTGAATGGATACATCGGCATGGTGCAGACCTTCTCCAACTACCAGAAACTGCAGCAAAAGGACCCCGCTGAGGCTGAACGTCTTTCTAATGACATCAGGAACAAGTGAGATATTAACCTCCCAACTGAACCACAGGTCTAATCGTTAACTTCTGGCCCTGTGCTCTCACCTCCACTCGCCTGGCGCTGAACGTTAATCTCCTAATCTCCCCTCTAAATTCACTTATCATCATCAAGAAACTGCTGAAATTTGTCTTTGAACACTGTCACAGTCTTGGGCATTAATCATAAAAGCCAAACATTGCATGACTAAGCTTAAGTGTTGAAGGCTTTTACTGCTTTGATAATATAGCCACCATTAATTCCCTTGCCACTGAAAGGACAGAATAGCCCAGCAAGCAAAATACGTGGAGGGGACGTGCTGAGCTGTAACTTTTACATGGATACAAAAAAGTATGACATTGTATTTTATTACTATCACAGTTTGGAAAGATTTACACACAGTTCTACTGTCTGTTTCTGTAAAGAATTGACCTGTGTTTTGTCATAATGGAGGAAAGAGAGTCATTTGAGGTTTTAGTTTCTTTACTACTTTATATTTCCTATTCTGTCAATAATTTCAATTAGTAATGTAGTCATTAGTTTATCAGTTACTTCATTTGACATGCCTATCTCTTCTTGTCTTGCCGTGTCTTCCGTCCCAGGTTGCTGTCTGCCATGAAGGTGTCTTCTCCTGACACAGAAGTTACAGTGGTTGTGAAGTATTTCTATTGGCTGGCCTGCAAACCTCAATCTTTCTGACTGGCTTCAATCTTTCTGACTGGCTAAATCCTTGTATATCAGAGTTTTCAAACATTGTTGGCTCTTAAAAAAACCAATGTCTGATTGTGACCCTTTGTCAGCAGGTGTATGTCTTCTGGTTGTGATAAGCTATACCAAAAAGACCCAAAAAGCTAAAAATGATCCAGCCAATCTCAAGAAAATGTCTAAATAAACCATTATTGTGTTTTAGAGGAAATCTTTTTGGGTATTTTTTCACCCTGTGGCCCACCAGATTTGTCTTAGGACCTTTTTTAAGGCTCCTAATGCCCAGGTTGGAAACCACAGATGAAGGTTTCATCAGAACGCAACCAGACACAAACCTGGAAAGCTAGTGGTATACAATAATGACCTAAACTCATTTTATGTTGTCTATGAAGATTCTCAGTCATCCAGGTCATAGTTATCCAACGAAGGTTAAAATCAAGGGCAACTGGACTTGGTTGAAGATACTGGAAGACGTTTCATCCCTCATCCAAAGGACTTCTTCAGTTCTGACTGAACTGAAGATTCATTATATGTTGAGAATCACTTAAAATAAAAAATTTGGATTCGCATCCTTTTAAATCAAGCATATTTTATGTTTATTATTAATTAAATATATCCGCATTTTCAGTAATTATGAAACCGTTTGTAATCAATCTACTGTCAAATCAGCCCATAAATATTGACCACTGTGTAACAGGGGCTTGCACAGTAAACACTAGATGGCGCCCTCTCATGCAGAGTTGAATGAGTGTCTAATTAATGTCCACTTCAAGCCTCACCTGCAGTCTTAAAATTGTACTTTTCTTACATGAACTTATCGTTTCTTGACCAGGGTGAGAGAAATCCATTTGCTTCCAGCATGTGGAACTGCACTGAAAACAAGCCACAAGTCACATTAACATATTTGGTTGTATATCCTCCTCTGTGAGGAGGTGGTAAACAGATAGTGGAGGAAAAAGAAAACATTAGTTGATGCTTTGCATGTGATCAAATCATCATTTTGATCATAGTAATGTAATCCAGGCACCATTTGGTTTCCTCCAAAATGTCTGTAGCTCTCAAGTGTTTTAGAGACATGAGTACAAAGTGAGTTGACTCTCTTACACTGTCAAAGAACCTGGCCTCTTTGTCCAAAAATCCATCTTCCCCTCTCTTTTTCACTCACCTGTCTCTGCTCTCCTCTCTATCTTCCAAATTTATAACACTCATTTGTCCAAGTCATCTGTGTCTCCCTGATTGTCCTCCTCTCTACTGTTATTTATGTGCTCACAGATTGTTTAGGGCCAGGAGAACAGATGGTAATTAACATGCATGGCCTCCAAATCCCCTGCATCTCAAAGAATTTGTTACTTTCCCCTGCCAAACTTTGACACTCTCATGTTGGTGATGTTATTCACCAAAAATAACTGCATGGAAAACTTTCTATCTTTATACCAAATGGAGCAGTTATTACATATTATTATATTAAGGTCAACCTCTGATGCGGTCAAACAGTTCTTCATGAGACATGCAATTGTTTCACTGTATTGTGCACACACTCATCCACATATTAATATTGGAATAATACTATTTCAAGACAATAAGCAAGTATTCAACTTAACACCTTATTCAAAAATCACTTAAAATCTTTTATCACATGCTCAGTCTCTGCCTGTCAGGAGTCCATATGTATTTACAAGACTTGGGCCCAAATCCATAGTCTCTATAAAACCCCCTCTGTGCGTTTACTCCTCCACACCACTAGGGCAGTCATAAGTAGGGTGACTAGAACTGGCACTGCAATGAATGGGGCGAGGATGCTGGCCGGCGGGTCGTGGAGGAGTCGGCCGGTCAGAGGACAGTCGTGGAAGTAGATCCGGTGAATCTGCATGAAGAAGCTGTCGATTATCTGATTGGGCCAGTAGCAGTCCATCCTCAAGGCCACCTGGTAGGTGCAGTTTGTTAGTCGCTCATAGATCCTGCAGAGGGTGGCAACACACAGTCAAATCTACTGAAATTATTCACTAATATTCCCATAATGAACTTGAAGTAATGAATCCCTTTTTTCCCATTCTCAGTCAGAATTTTATATAGTAGTAATATAATAGTTTCTCGTAGTGTCTTTGAAACGTCCTTTCAGACTGGGACCAGAGAAGGGATTCCTGTTGATAGGAAAAATGGCAAAGGAGTGTCTAGAATTACCAGCGGGCTTAACACAGCTAAATATAACTGCTAGATGCTAGAGGGAAGGGGAAATGGAGATGCATACCAACAGGGTAGTGCCCTCAGTACGGCATTGCTCCATACCAGGAGAGATTCTGTTCCGGATGGCCACTGTGTTTAACTGCATAGCTGGAGGCCGGGGGGTGGGCAAGTGGTCAGACAGCCCCATAAAGGAAAAGGCCACCAAACTTTAACGTTCCTCATAAATTGCTTTTTGTGATGGGCACAATGTATTGTTTACTGTGTCATTTCCCTGGTCAAACAATATGGTGTTACCATGATTGTCAAATGGCAGTTGCATCAGTCCTCCAGAATGCAGTGCTGCATTTTCTTTAAGGGCCACAACTCACTTTTTCCATGCACCTTAAAAACTTCATAATGAAAGCAAGGCTGCAAAAACCGAGCTGTGGGCCTATATTTAGCTCGCTGTCTCCCCCTATATAATTTGACTATAAGTTTATTAGTTGGATTTAGTTAAACAGTGCTAATTATTTGTGAAAATGCTCAATGTAAGCCTGATATCAACTGGGTTGTTGAAGCTGTGATAATTTCAGAAGCTTCTTTGTTATATATATATATATGTTGAAATTCTCTTTAGGACCATGTCAACCATGTCACCTGCCCACCTACGTGCACCTCACTGTGCATGAAAATGTGTTTTGGGGGAGTGGCTTTGGAGAGAGGCCTGAAGGGAGGGGGTGGGATTTTTTTTCAGTTGGATACTTTCAAAATCTAGCTCTATTGCTATTTCTCCAACTTTGACTAACCCTGCTTTAAAGTATTTACTAGAAGGTACTAGATTTTGACACAGTTAAAAGATGCAGGAGTGACTTCAGTTTCATTTTACATCAATCAGTTAATACAATTGGACAGGGACCCCTGGGCATTGGCAATCCATTTTAGATAATAAATAAATGTATGATTTAGAGCAGAATAAGGATATTTCTTTTTATTCCTACAAACCTACGAATGTAACAAAACATTATTAATGTATAACACACGATATTATATTATAGTTCAAGTACATGTATTCTAAGCAGAGCACTATACTGTATATGACTATGAGTCACTTAAATCACAGAATAAAAGCATTAACTACATGATTGGTATGTAGTGCTACCATGTGTGTGTGTGTGTGTGTGTGTGTGTGTGTGTTCAATTTTGTTTGTGAATGTGTTTTATTATTGTGTTTCATAGTGCTGGTGGATTTCCCCAGCCCTTTAATGCTTCTACGTGCCAACTATCACCGCTCAGCAGCTGTTTCAGGAGCTGGTGTTGCAGCTGTAAGACCTAGAATCCTGATTAGGTTTAAAGGTAGGGGTTGAAGTTAATGATGGTTTAGGATTAAGACTCATGCTGGTGGTCATGATTAGAATTTGGACTCGGTTGGGGTAAAGGTTCAATGTTAGGACCCAAACAGGTGTGTGTGTGTGTGTGTGTGTGTGTGTGTGTGTGTGTGTGTGTCCATCCATAAACACATTCCCAATTAACAGTTTTGGTGAATAATAAATTCTTTGACATAATATCTTATTAATGTGCAAAAATACATTTTGGCAATAAAATCTCAAGTGTTAATTAGGCAGAAATGGTGGTGCTAATTTTTAAAAAAAGCCTTAAATATTACATAACTCTGGAAAAAAAAAAAGGCATGGCAGACTCACAACTGTCAGTCACATGGTACGGAGACTGATAAGGCAGTTTGTGGGTTTGCTATCAAACAACATAGATCACTTTCACAAACCAAAAAAGTTGAGCATGCCTTGCTAACAGATTTTGAGATACGCCCTGTGTGAGAGCTTTTCCTCAGTCATGTTTAAGGTAAACCCACAGGGATTGTTGGTGTTTTCTTGGAGAAAGTAGTACATGATCAGCAAAATAACTAGAATGTGCAGTGCAGCATCAGAGTCTCTGAGAGAAGAGATAGCTAGATCTTAAACATTGTGGGGAAGAGGAGTTTCTTCTTAGGGTCACCTATAGATGACTGCGGCTGATATGCTGCGTGGTGCATTCAATTGAAAATAAGCTGAAGATGGAACACAGTTCCAATGTATGTTTGACCCAATTATTTGTATTTGCCGCACATGAGCCTAATAGAAATGAATATAATTAAATTAATTAAATTAATTTTATTAAATTAATAAAAATATATTTTTCAGAGAAACCTCCTGTAACAATGCAGTGGATCTAAACTACTTTGGGATGCATTCCTTTGGGAGCGTTTAGTTTCACATTCAAGAACAAACCATTTCAGTTTCCATAATAATTGGACCCCTCTTCCAGTTGACACACAAAGTGGTCTGGACTGTGATGAACTGATTTGTGGGGCTGGATGGCATGTAGCAATACCTAGACTTGGCATGTCTATATTTACCGCTGAGTATGTTATGTTTGGATCTCACCTGAATGTTAAACGTGGCTGTCTGTACATACAGTGTAATTCGATTGCTGACAAGTGGAGATATTTTAAGAGGGAAAAGTATTTACCAAAACAAAGCACTCCATGTATTGGAGGGTTTTTAGCTTTACAGATGTGTGGTTATTTTTTAAATAACCACTCAACTAATTATCATTATCCTAACATATTATGCTGTGATTTCAGCTAAACACAAAGTGAAATTATGTAAATTTTTTGAACAGCGGAACATAAAATTTAGCTAACATTAGCCACCACAAGCTAACTGGTCATACCAGACAAGTAAGGGAGCAAAACCTGTGATTGTTTTGAATTGACAGAGTGTATTTATTTACTCATGAATTCATCTTTTCATTTGTAGGAGTTACATCTGACCTCTGTTTAGAAACAAATCCCCCTTATTAGACTTTTATTTTGAAAGTCTCTAAATTGGCATGCACCCACACAATAGCCTTGTTGATGTGTTTCTAATTTTCTATTCTGCATGGTTTATTTATCTGTTGAACAGTCAGTTCTCCAGTGGACCTTGACGATGGCGTCAAACATTGTTGCTAGGGGTTTTGTGACGGATCGGCAAACCCTCTATGTGCCTGTACACATCTTTTATGATCAGTTACAACAACACACACACACACACACAAACAAAGAGCACCACCACTAATTACGTGCTGGACCAAGAGAGGAAAGTGAGCCAGGAGGGAAATCACAGTTTTGACAGTAGCTTTCTCCTGTGGGTCTCCCAGCTCCTTTCACCCTCCTGTCTGACTCATCCTCTGACTGCCAGTGTTTGGAAAAGGACTGCTCAGAGACACCGTCTGACACATACACACACACACGCATACACATAAACATTAAGTGTGCGACAGATACAGTTAAAGGCCGTGACCAAGTGAGTGGAAACACAGACTGGAGTCTGTGATGGCCAGAAGGCAAACAGCCAGGAAGGCAGGCTGATGTTTTATCACAGAATGAACTATAGGCAGAGCAACATATAGTGGGCAGAATAAGTCAAGGCAAACATCATAATTCTTCCACAAACCACTAGTCCTTTAGGGAGAAAAATTAACATTTGATGTGATGCTATGTGCTGTATTTAATGCATGTTTGTCATTAAGATCTATGTTACCAGAGGAATGACAGGTAGACTGATTTAAATTTGGGGAAATATGTACAGTATGCATTCTCACTGACTTCCTTTTGCAATTATCATACTTTTAATCCATCAGTAGTTTTACCGTTATGCATTGTTTGCGCACAGGTAAAAGATTTCACTTATTAAATAGTAACACTGTGATTGTTTTACTAAACTGAGCCCTCTATGTTACTCTATAGTAACAGAATTGCACTGGACACTGTGCAGTGGAAAATAGATGTGACACTGAGTGTGTAACTCAATTAATGCACAGTGATGTTCACCTATATGCTTCCAATAGAGCTGTAGCAAAAAATACTATCCTGTCAGTGCCCCTGCAAAGGAACAATGCTTAGCGTTTTACAGTGTGTTCACAATAAATGCCAAAAAGACAGTTTCAAGACTGATATAATGCCTGAAAACATTTATATAATAAGGTTCAATATTTGGCTCCCTGACTACTGTGTTTACATGTTCTGAATAGGAATCAAATGAAGCATAGTATTACTTCAGACAGAGCCCTGAAGTTGCACTGGCATTAGCTGATTCATGCTTTTACTGGCTCATTCATCGGCGGTTTACCAGCTGACTGAACGTCCAATCGTATTAATGCAGGGGTTCAGTGAAGCTTTTTAAACCTGGCTCTCCTCACTATGACTCTGTTGATACCTTCATTTGCCACCTTAGATTATGTATAATCTTTGCTTATTTTTTGGTATTCACTGTTCATGTATGTGTTTGTGAAGAGAAGTTAGTTTCCCTCAAAGAATAGAGCCTTTCCCGCCAAATCTAACTATCCTTTTGCCATAAATGGTCAGTTGCTTGATCTCTGAATAAACTAAACAAGAGGAAGGACCAGTGATTTTGTTTTTATTTTTGATCCTGTTGGGAGCCTATCTTTATGGCTTTGCTGTAGGTGAACTCACTCCATGGTGTCCTGCCAGCTGCACCATAGGCCTTGGTCCTGTGCTCCCATGTCCAATTTGAATTTAGCTAGGCAGTGCTCATTGATCATCCCCTCGTAGAAAACCCTGTTGCAGCCAGACACTGACGGAAGTACTTGAGCTAAAATGAAAATGAAACAAAAGGTATTAATTAAGGTACACACACAAAGAAGAATGGATTTGGGTGATATGAGGTGACTACAACTGGGTGGTCATTTGATTTCGGTGAGTGGGGAGCAAAGTTTTGCATCATTGTAAAGATACACAAGATTTCACATAACACTACAGAGATTATGTGCTGTTTTCAGTTCTTGATTATTAGGAATATGTTCCTGCAACAAACAAGGTCATGTCCCGGCAACGTTATTCCTATCGGAACCCTTTCTTCCCTATTAGGCTGTTACTTTCACTTAGAAAATATTTTAATTTGCAGTCAGAGTTCAGCCCCATTTGTTTTCTCCAGAGATGTGTGTAAACAGCCTCTTAACGTGGAAGCAGACCGCAGCCATCCCGCAGGACTCTGAACTGAATGTAACACCACTGAGCAGTACAGTAGGCGAGGGGGCTTAAGCTGGCGGTAAAGGCCCATGTGGAACGAACAGGTTGTTGTTACGATTGGGAAACATGGCGGATCTCCGTCTGCGCGGGCCTGATAAGGGCCAACTGTGTGCCCATTATGTTTGCTCTGTCTCAGCTGGCTCTCAAGGCTCTGACACATCCAAAGGAAGACTGAATATGTTGACACGGGGATTTCAAAAGAGAGGCTACTGAAAGAAAAATGGCCGAGACCCCGCTGCTGGAGCAGCACGCATTTTCAAACAGAGGCTTGAGGTGCTCAAATGAAACACTAAAGTGAGGTGAAAAAGCATCAAACACAGGCACAAACTGAACATATGAATGGTAATTTTGTGTCTACTGCCTCGTTTATTGCCCACAGAGTTGTACGGATTGTTATGTGTCACCTGTCTGTCTGTTTGTTGGCAACTGTTCATGGAGAAATCTGACATTCATGCGATCAAAGATACCTTCTAACTTGGCTGCCGACCAGCATTGCATTCGCATTCCATTTTCCAGGAAAATCAAGGCAAACCATGACAGATGCTGCAGCGCTGCTAGCTGGAGGATTACACTCTATTGACAAAGTTTTGTCCATATTTTGAGTATAGGAAACAGCCATCAGTCTGGCAGGGAGCATAGTCCTGGAATGGCAGAAGGGCTCAACAGTTATGGATTTTAAAAATGATACTCATGAAAGTGAGATGATCCAACTAGCTCAGATGTCACTCATGATTAGCCAGCTGCTGTGGTGCTCAGCATGAGAGCCTAATTTTCACATTCTCCGATTCATCTAGTGCTGAAAGTAAAGCCCAGTGGCTGTGGATTTTCAAAAGCTCGTCAAGAGAGCATAGTGTTGAAAGTATTCTCCCATGTAAGATTCCTATCTTACTGCAGACTGGTCCTCCCTTGATGCATGTTATTGTATTAAGGTATTGTATGAAGGTGCCTGAGCAACACCTTCGGTCCTCATGTTGTCCTTAATTAGACACATTTTTGGGAGTTATACTCAGCAGTGTAAAACCTGCCAAAGGAATCAGGATATTCGAATGCCTCCTAAGAATTATTGACGTTAAAATGTTTCTCTACATGTTACAAGCTTCTTTTCAAAGCAAAATGTAAGCCTTTCTTGTAACCTGTTGAACATCCACGTTTCATGCTACTTTAGGCCTACACTGCACTATGTTTCAGTGGCAAATAGTGTGCTTTTGTTACTTTACAAATTAAGATTTAACATATATGATGAGCTCATAAAATATGATGAATTATTACAGATCACAACAGTATATAAAATAGTTATAATCAGCGTCAACTCCACCAAATGCATTAGCAATAATTATCCCATAATATAATAACTAATTGTATGACAGTCAAAATGACAGTTTTCTACACTGTATACTTTTACTTTGGATACTTATCATACTCAAGTATTTTACTTAAGTAAAAGTTGGTGCAGTACTATTACTTGTAAAAGAATATCTTTACAGAGTGATGTTGCTACTTTTACTCCAGTAAACAACCTGAATACTTTCTAAACCCTTATCCTTGCCTGAGACTGAAAACATACCAAATTTAATGGTACAGTGTTTAGTCAAATTGTTCATGTTTATGCATTTCACAGTTTGAACATTGTAATATCTAAATGAACGAATGAACGAATGGATAGCATAATACAATACAATACAATACAATACACGGTTCACTAACACAAACACTCACCTGCCACAAACAACACAAGCCCAGCTTTCAGGAGCGACGCGCTCTCCAGAGCCATCCTGAATACCAACTCCACGATGTCTTTTGCACACTCTGCTCACTCCGTGGAGATCAACTGCACATATTTCATTCTTCCTCCAGTATTCTAGCCAAAGCCACAGATTCAGGAACTACAGCACAACGTTAAAAATAAATCAACCACAACTCATGGTGTGCGGTCAACAAGGAGGCACCAACTGCGTGTAAAAAAGCCCCTTGACCTTCCACTGTGGCAGCCTCCTTCCCTCACCGCAGCCCTAATCATAGAAGCTCTGCCTGTCATCTGATCCCCTTGTCCTGCTGCTTCCAGCGTGGAGCTGCACACAGGGGGCAAAACAAAGTCACACACCAAAATTAGTGCCAGTCTTAATGAACCCAGGGAATCATTACAAGACAAAAAGAGTCATCTCATGGTATCTAGCCGTAAAATATCCCCATAAATTCACACCACATGCCCAGTGGAGAATGCTGTAGGAATATTACAGCCCAGGGAAAATATCTAAGAGATTAAAAGTCTGCAAGAAACTATGATAAGATCACTTTTAGTTCAAACACTGAGTCCCTGCAGAACTGCTACTTTATTTTTTTCTATGAATGCCTCTGTATCTACAACAGACGCCTCAAAGTACATAAACTTATAACTTTCTAGAGAATAGGCCTTTAAATGCACAATTATCACAGTTTACAATCTACAACTTTAATGCAATTTACTTTAGCATGTTTATTTATTAAATCCCTACATGTCTCCATTACATATGTATTCTTTGTAATGCATTACTTGGAATACCCTCTTCACTGTGCACCGTTGTTCTGTAACCACCCAATCAAACCTCACTTAGGCCTCACACAGGGACCCATTACAGAACACAAAGACAGAATTCCCATTTTGTCACACTTGTATCAGCGCAAATCACATGCAGCTCAGTAATGTCACTAATTGAATGTTTTATCTGCAGATTTTTGTGCAGGAACAGACTGACGTTCATTAATATTCTCAAGGCTGCTCTGCGTTGTGCTGCCACCCAGTGAGGTTGTCTGTGCTGGTGTGCGTCTGTGTATGTGTGAAAGACAAATCCCACAGCTCAAATAAATGTTTATGTGTATCTCTTATAATATACTGTAGTGTGTAGACTGACAACCGCTGTATTTCCCGTGAGTTAATATATTACCAGGTATTTTCTTGATTTGGGGGTAAGAAACATTCAAATAATGGTTTGTTTTGTGTTCATTTTGTTGACATTAAAGGGCCCTTTACACATTTTAGTACTGGTTTACATGGTTGCCCCAGTGTTCCCTCAACATCTCAAAATACAAATTGGTAAAGTTATTATCACCATTAATAACTGAAAATGCATTGAAACGTATGTTATATGTTAATATGTTAATGGAACAATAATTTTTACATGGCTAAACTTCTGACATTCAAGACCTGTGGGCATTTTTTAAAGCGACAATAAAAAATAAATATAAATAAACCTCACAAAGGAAGAATACAATTAAAAATAAATCTAGGATGACAAAATGTTAAATGACCCTCCACTGATCTCCAAAAATAATCCTTACAGCCAAAACATACACAAAATTCGTAAACTTTTCCCTTTTCTAATGCCACCCAAATAATTTTCCTACAGTGCCTTTACTCCGTTTTTTATATTAAAAAATGATGAGAACTAGGCTTTAAGGTGATCATCTAGCCATTTGGTTGAATTCCCATTTGTATGATCATAGTATTTGTGACAAATACAAGCCCAAATGTTCACCTCAGCCGCTAAGGTTCAAAATTGAGTCATTCTCCATAAATTCCTCTAGAGAGCAGCAGAGGACACTAAATGAATTTTCTCTTTTGCATTGTGGGGATCTTCTGCACCCTTGCTGCCTAAACTGTGGAGTAATTTTGGTAATAGAGCCAGTTCATGCCCGAGTTTTCACCCTACATGGATTACAAATCAATATGTTTTTGTCCTCGACATCAGCCCACAAACCAAGCCAGAGAGAAGAATAGGGAACACTGGCTTGTAAAATGAGCGGCCCTGAAAATGGTATACTGCCGGAGCCATTCCCTTCACAGCAGCCCCATTAGACTACCATCATCAAAGTTTATAAGCTGTGCCTTCTAGTGGTGGATACAGTATTTGCAGAGGCTGACCCTGCTGGCACCAGTAGACTTTTCGAACGGAGCTGAAAGTCTGCATTTCAATATCCAAACAAAAATGAAGCACATGCTATTTTTAGTTGTAAAATAGTCCCTGATGATCTACCACTTTTCTAGACATTAGTCTGTCTTTTTTGTATTTAATGTTCCTATATAAGAATTTAACTCTCCAAATTCTGAATGTGTTGCTCTGTAATGGTAATAGGTTTATAGCAATTAATGGAATATGACTTTAAATTATGATCATGATATGATAATAAAAGGCCTGTTTTTCCAGCAACACAGAAAGCCCACAGGCAGCAATTTGGACTCTACACCACCACCCATTGGGAAACCAAAACAAAATCTGTTCCTGACAGGTGTATTGACAGCAGCGAAGAAGCCAAATAGCCAATCAGGAGAGGTGATAAGTGAGGTGGGCGGATTTCCAAAAAAAGACAAAACGCTCCTAATCTTTTGGATAGCCGGTTTAATAGGCCGAAGGAGGTGTCAATCACAATAAGGAGGCGTGTTCAAACCCCCCCCCCCATTGCTCGCACACACACACACACACACACACACACACTCCATCCCCCTCTCCCCCCAGCCACCGGCGCGATGGCAGCGTGAGGAGTAAATGGCTCAGAGTATCCGCGGTGGAAACAGACCTAAACACTGGTCTAGGAACTGATAAACAAACAACACTAAACGAGTTGCGTAAAAGCTCTCCACTGCGCCGGTTGTGGGTACGCACGGAAACTGTGCCAGTTGTCGAAGAAGACAAGAAGACTCCGAGGTTTTTCTTTTTTTGTCGTTTATTTTTGTGTGTGTGACAAACGAGGATATCTTAATTGGACATGTGAGTTACGGGAGTTAACAAGACAAGCAGCCTTTTTTTTAAAAAGATGAAGTTCCCCGCTTACGTCCTCGTCACTTTGGTGGTGATCGGATCGAGTGCAGCACAGTCAGGTGAGTGCTTGGATGACCAGGTCAGACTTCAAAATCAGGGGATTAAGTGAGGGTCCAAACACCCCAAAACCCACCTCTCCATTTTGGCATAAATCTGTAAATACGAGTTTAATTTAATGATAATTTCGCAGTACTTGTTTGCTGAATGGGCGTCATAGTTTAACACCTGTGTTGTTAGCTGTACACTACGGGTAAAAAACTTAACACAACTTCATCTCCAACCACGCTGACGCTGATTTGAATCATCGCACTGAGACTCACACCTGCAGTAACTGTGAGATTCAGCAGACTCGGGGAGCGTGCCGAGCTCTGCGTAAAGATCTCAAACTACCCTCTTTATATTTGTTTTTCTGACCTCTTATTTGTATTTTTAAGCTTATCAGGGACACACGTTTGTGCGGAAATTGTGCGAAATCCACTTTGCTCGGGTGCCTGTTTGATAAATCATTTGGTAATGAAAAATGTAGTATCAAATATCTTCCCAAATTCACTGAATGACAGTGAATCTCTGATGTTGGCGCAGCTCAGATGCGCCCCGTGCTCTGCCGTTTCATATACCCTTAACATGAATGAATGCCATCGTTTTAATATAATTCCCTTCAGCGGACATTGACAGAATGAGGACCGCGGTTATTTGCGCTGATTTATATGAATTGAGCTCTGTTTTCATTCCTTACTGTCTTTAAATAATTTAGATGTAGCAGAGATACTGAGGGCTATATAAGCAGTGGGAAAATATATCCTTTCATCATTAGGACCCCTGTGGAGGGGACCCCTAGTCGAAAGTCACTTTAATGTTCCTTTAATATTCCCATAAACAATTGTAATCCCTCCAATAGTCAGTATATATTGACGTTAATGATATTTTTATTTATGTGTTAGCCTGTTATTGTCCTTTGGCACCCCTGCAAGATATTTGCAGATAGTTTTGCTACTGCCACATTTGAGATTTCACCACTTGCTGTGTGACATTTTGTTTGTGATGCAGGGTTTCAACAAACTCTAACCACCTGTTTATAAAAGCAAATACTAATTAAAGGCTTTGATGTTGAGAAAATGTCCTGCTCAACTTTTTCATTCAGCTTTTGTTCACAGACCGATCATTAATGACTTATATATTCTCTAGTATTCTGTTTGGTTTGTGGTTTGGTGTAATGACTCCTTAAAATCATACTATAAGATGCACTCACGCATAATTATTTGCAGGGTAATATTTTATGTTTCATTTTGGGCTGGTAAAGCAGTAGTTATGCCCAAATCTGCCTTCTTAATTGATATAATCAAGCTCAAGGAATGTTGAAGTGGGAAAAAAGCAGAAGCACATTTAGAAAGTGGGAACACTGGAGAGTTTATGGATTTATGTGATGGATTGAGCTGAATTTGGCCATCGTCTAACTTCTCAAATGGGATTCCAGGATTCTTTTCTTCCCGCCTCCGAGGACAGGTCGAGTTTTGGCTCGACCTCTGGTGGTTTGTGGTTCTCAGGCCGAGCAGACACACACAACAGACACACACACTCACTCTCCTGCTGCCTGGTGGTGTGGGTCTTGGATGGAAGGCGCTGAATGCTGCCTATTAAACAGGAGTGGATGGATGCACGGATGCATGGGTGACAGGCGGGATGAATGGGGAAGAAAAGTGGCACCCTCACTGGTTTATTTATTCTCTATGCATACACTCCCATCCAAAATATTTGTGATGCAAATTCTGCACAGGAATCCGAGCTATGCCTCTTGGGAAGCGCATTGTCTTTGTGGTTGTTAGTGGGTGTATTGTGAGTAGATATGTGTGTGCTATCTGGCCACTCTTTCATCTCTCTTGCACTTAATCTCCCTCTCCTTACTGTGGTTTTAAAAATTCATACCCAACACCGTATATCAATCATATTAGGGTATATCAAGTAAGTCAAGGCTAGAGATGTTCACTTCGGTGGTGTTTAACATGGTGATTGAATCTGTCAGGACGCTCCTGCGCAAGACAAATGTCTGCCGCATTCCTGCCAGTCAGCTCGTCTGCCAAGCTGTGTACACTTAACTATGTGTGTTTGTGTGTTTGCCCGATGTACAGTATGGCCACACGTGTGCCGAAAATGGACTGGCGACTTGATTGATGTTGTTCTCTATTCTGACAGATTGTTGGCAGTGT